GCTATAAAAAAATAGGTTCTGGCGCCTGCCTCGCAAGTGCAAGGTCCCGAGTTCGATCCCCGGTAAATAAATAAATAAATAAATAAATAAATAAATAAATAAATAAATTTACGCATTTAGCAAACCTGCATTTTGTGTCATTCAACCCTGAAGATATAAGGATGAATTAAATAGAAAACAAAATAACATTTCTGTCATAGAACATATGCCCTTGTGCAGGGATAGTGAACCTTTTAGAGACAAGTGCCCAAACTGCAACTCAAAACCCACTTATTTACTGCAAAGTGCCAACACTGCAATCAAACTTGAATATTGAGATTTTAGTTTAGAAAAAGCAACTCATACCTTAACATCCTTTGTCTTAAAAGGAATACAAATAAGGTACATGTTTGTGCATGCATGTTTGTGCATGATTATGCGCCACTGCCCTGGTAAAACCTTACCAGGTTCAAAGTACCGTCATCATTTTGGATATAGGAAAAGTGAGGTGTGATGAAATGTGGGAATTACAGTCTTAATATTCCTGTGGCTGAGTTGAGACAGTGTCATTCAGTTTGATCAAAACCTAAAGTTTGTGCCTTCGTCACCCTGTCTTCTGAAAATAACTGTGTTTCCAACAAACAGTACTGTGGAAGGCATGGAGTTTGTACATAAATAACTTACAGAAAAATCCAGATTGGACTTTTGAAGCAGCACTGTTTTACTGCTGGTGACACTGAGGCTCACAATGGGATCAGGTGGAATTTTCCAGCAAGGTGGTGGGATTCCAATGTCCGGGTTTTTTCTCCCTGCTGTGCTGCCCTGGGTGTGTCTGAGCTGATTCTGATTCTATCCCCTGTTTTTCCACACATAGTTCCAGGTCACCTTTGCTCAAGTGAAAAGTCACTTCTAATGTGAAAGCTTGTCTGGGATGAAGGAATACCTCCCAGGCTTCCTGTTCATAGTATTTTCATGGTTTGTCTTTCCACATGAAGTTTAAGATGTACTACATAACTATTATAACTATTCTTGTTCATGGCTCTAGCATCAGATCTATGAGAAGCTGAAGTGATAGAAATATGGCCCCTTGCTCATTACACAAAAGTGCTTCACCTAATAATTTCTGCAACTCTGCTGACAGGAATCTTCATTGATGTCCATGCCTTTAAAAGAAGAAAAGATCCTCTAAGCCATGTGATGCACACCTGCATGTCCTTTCTTCATGTTTCAAGTGCCTCTTCTGCATAACTGCCTCATGTTTCACCATGTTTAAAAATGTCTTCCATCTAGATTGGCTATAGTATGAAAAGGACATATAGGGACAAACTGGTGCTTTGTAATTGAGAATTGTATTACACTCTCTTGAGACAGACTTTGCAAACAAATTATCTCAGGCAATCTGTATAGATGCACAGTTACTAATAATTAGACAGGAAATAGATTGTATCTGCTTTTGTAATGTAATCAAACTGAAAAATACAGAATAGTGTCCTCTCCAACATCATGTGCCCAAAGAATAAGTGGAACAGGATGTAAGACTAAAATTTTTATACTTCGAGTCTAGTGCTCTCTACACTACAAATACAAGGCCATGTATTTCTCCATTTTAAAGACTTTTCAGTTTAAATTTCGTACCATATACATGATTTAGAATATTGCTGTGTAATACACCATCCAAAAACTCTGTTGTTGCCTACACCATGCATGTCAGCTGTGTGGCTCTGCTGACCCTGACTGGGTTCTTTAGCATGGTGAGGAGGTCAGCTGGCTTCAGATTGATCTAAGACAACCTCAGCTGAGACAGTGGGGCTCTTTTCACAGTCTTTCTCATCCTCCAGTAGGCCAACTGAAGGAAAAACAGAAGCACATAGGGCCCTGAAAGTCCAGGCTGGGATGTGGCACCACATGCCTTCCCCTTCTTTCAGATGACCAATGCAAGCCATGAGGCCAGGCCCAATTCAAGAGGAAAGGGAATTCATTACTACAATTTTTAAATAGAATAATGAATAAGTCATTTTGCAACTATGGTGCACCAAGGCAAGGGGTAAATTAGAGATTTGTTCTGTTTTGTTAACACTTTTTCATTCTGATTGAGAAAAATATAATTTAGACAGCACAAGCAATTTGCCTTGGGTTCTCACCAAAGATGTTGACAGCAAGAGACACAGTAAAATTGCAGAGACAAAAACATAAAAACATTCAGTTGGTTAACAAAACATATCTGGTTTTTTTGGCATGTAGTTCCTTTGCCTCATGCCTTTTCTAGAATCCCCTACAAATACCCACTCTGGATGAAAGAGGTGCAGACATGAGTTTCTCTTCTTGGGAAAGGTTCTTAGTGTAGGGTTGGTCCTTTTGTGTGGTGTGCAGGTGCAAAGGTGTTACTGCATATTCAGATGTTCTTGTCCTCATTGAAGTCCCTTCATTTGAGCCATCCAAGCAACAGGCAACTTCATGATAGTCAAGAGAGTAGTTTCTCGACACCCGCCGAATCAGCCCACTGCAGACAGGCAGGTCTGCCCACACCTCACCGAGGTCCCCAGTCGTGCAGAACACACTCCGAATCAGCCCACTGCAGACAG